GCGGCGTACCTCCAGCGGCCCCGCCAGGCCGGCCGGAGTCTGCACGCAGGGCTCCTGCGCGCCCAGGATGCCCGGGCAGACGTCGGCGCACTCCTCGGCCGGCTTGTTGTGCAGGATGATGTTGTGCTCGAGCGCGGGTGGCGGCTGCAGCAGGGCCCAGTCGATGGTGGAGATGTGGCAGAGCTCCTGGTTGCGCTCGATCCGCACCGAGCCGTTGAGCACGTTGGTCAGGCCGCGCAGGCCGATGTCGCGCAGGTGCGGCATCTCGAAGATGACCAGGGCGTAGCTGAAGAAGAGGCTGGCCCCGCGGATGACGGCCAGGCTGGGGAAGAGGTCGCGCAGGCTCTCCAGCCCGTAGACGCGGAAGAGCAGCAGGTACTCGGTGATCATGACCAGGCGCGGGAAGGCCAGCGAGCGGAAGTCCTCGCCGCTGGCCGTGAACATGAGCAGGATCTGCAGGCTGCCCTCGATGACGGAGCAGTTCTCCAGGCGGCGCAGCTGCGCGGGATCCACGCGGATGTCCATGCTCTCGCAGACTGCGGGAGGCGGAGCGGGGAGTTAGGGGGCTCGGCGGTCCAGGAGGGGCTGAAGACCCTTCCCTCCCGGCCGGAGGGCCCCGTGGCCTCCAGCCGCCTCCGGCGCAGCTTAGCGCGCCGCGAAAGGCTTTTCTACCCTCTGCTCCCCGCTCTTGGAAAACGATGCCCAATTCTGAAAGATGACGTTGCTTCAGCGTTACGATCAGCCGCCCCGTTTGTCCAGCCTTCCACGGGCAAAAATGCAGGACGGGCCTTGGGTCGGTGGTGATCCTGCGTGGCTTAGGATGAGGCGCAGTGAAACAGGAGCGGTCAAGGAAAAGCCGCCAGAGGGAGGCTCCGAACCGCCCCCGCTTTGGCTGCCTTGGGTAACTCTGGTAAAGGAGCAGGTGCCTTCATTCCAGGGAGTGAGGCTAGAGGGGCTGGTGGGTCCCTGCACTGCTCCCTTGCGGCGAGGGGGGAGCGGGGGTCTGGCCCACCTTGGCCTGCGACAACTACCTAGCTGTTCCAGAAGGGCCTCTCAGCACACCCAGAAGCCATCTGGCAGAGCCCCAAGAGACGGTGGCTGCTGTCTGGTCCCTGCCTTGGAGACCCCCCCCAATCTGGTATTTGCACAGGAGCCCCAAGCCTCCTGGCTGCAGTGCCAACACTAGCATTCTCCAAGCCTGGCACCGTCCAGAGGCGTCGCTGGCTGTGGGGAGCTCCTTTCTGGCAGCTGGATTCCAGGGTAGATGGGCTCTAGACATCTTCAGCTCTGGAAAGGGAACTTAGAGGACCCCCAGCTCCCTCCCCCATCTGTTTCTGCTTCTACTCAGCAGGTAGTGATGACAATTACTGGCCAAGTCCTTGCCCAGAGGTCTGGGGGCACAAGAGACGGATGCCAGGCCAGCCCTGAAAGGAGCTGGTGGCCAACCAGCATCTCCCCCGCCCCCTCCTCCCTGGGAAGCACCTTCTGCAGAGGAGGGCAGGACAGAGAAGGGGCTGGGTTGAGCTACTGTTTAAACAGGTGCTGTTCCCCATTCGCGGAGATCCAAATGTTTGCTTGCACACGGCTTGGAGCTAGCTTCGTGTTTGCTGAGGCTTTCAAGAGGAATTGGTGCAGGAGGAGGAGACCTCACAGATGGTGGGGTTGGCATCACAGCAGCAGACACCCTGGCAGTAATGCCCGGCCCCCAGCCCATCTCCTTGGGCAGCCATGGCCAAAACACGTCCCCTCTCCTTTGAAAGGGATGGAAGGAAGGAAGTCCTCGTGGAAGGGAGGAAGCGACATCAAAAGTGGTGGCGTTAACCCCGAACCCTCCTCCATGGGGCACAGGGAGGAAGGGAAGCACCTGGCACGGGTGCCAGCCTGTCCTCAGCCACAGAAGCAGGTTGAGTTAATACACGAGCCCACAAAGGAACCCACCGGTGGGTCTTCACAACCTGCAACACCACCCCAGAAACAGTAAACAAATCCTAACCCAGGTTACAGTAACCAAAACAAGCATGTCGTTGTGTGAATGCAGCCGCTAAGCCCTTGATGGGCCTGGCTGAGCCTGTTCTTTGGGGGCATGAAAGAGGAAGGGACCCCAAATACCGCTGTAGGGTTTGCAGTAAAAGCTGAGGACCAGCGTGCCTGTCTCTCCACTCCGTTCCTTTTAAAAAATGCAGAGATTGGCAGGAAGTCTCTGAATTAGCAGATGCTGCTAATTAAGAACTTGTTAATTGATGAAATGCTTAGTTAGGTGCCCGTCAGCTTTGCTGAAAGGCACCCCTGCCAGCTTCTGAACCAAGGTCTCCCCCCCCCCCCCCCCCC